GTGCGAAGCCGAGCGGCTCCTTGCAGGCTGCGTGTTGCCCGTCCCCGCAGGCCAGGCGGAGAAGCAGCTTCGAAATCTGTGCCGCAGTTGCGGGTCCTGAAACGTAGCCAGGAGGAGCTGGGGCGGGGGGATCGTCGCGGCTAACGGGGGCTTGGAAGGTGCGTGCCGCTCCACAAGGTCACTGTATGTTCTCGGAGCAGCTGCTCCTGGCGACTTGTTAAAGCCGAGTTCCCGGGACGTGCACACGGGCCGGGGAGAGGAGGCCTTTAGCGGTGGCTTCGGCACTTCACTTTTTCACTGGACGTTCAGCGTTCGGGAGCGTTTCACGGGTGCTGAGGCATGTCAGAATGCCCATCATCGCCCGAAACTTTGTTTACAAGTATCAAAACATTTCCACGACCTTCCGTTGTGAAATAAAAATGTGATTATCTTCTGGAAGTATTATGTTTTACTATTGTTGTTACTACTACTGTTGTTGTTTAAATTTGTATGCCACCTGATTCCCAGTGACTCAGTTGTGTACCACTTTTACCTCTTAGATGTAGGGTCTGGTTATCAGAGGCCATCTACCAGGGAAGCTTGTGAAGTTGTAGTTGGAGAGTTCAAAAGCTTGTTTCTCTGATGCACAGTGGTAGAACTTGCTACATAAACTCAGAGAGTTCTGCTTAGCTGCAGTATGGCTTCAAAATTATTAGATATTTTAGCAACTTCATGTATTGTAAGTTATAGAAATGCAAGAAATCCCTGCTTTCAGAGGTCACCTTTTTTGACAGTGGCCCTACCTATAAAATGCCCTTCCAGAGAAGGTACCTGTCAGACTGCCCTCCCCTTTAAGCATGCTAAATTTTCGCCCTTTATTATTGTTTAAATTGTGTGATTTGTTTCTCATTTGCATTAATTCTGTGTAAATGACCCGTAATCTTGGATTAGAGATGATACAAATTTGAAATAAACATAATACATTGAAATATTGTATTAGCAGAATTATACTAAGTGTATGTCTAATTTTGAAAATACACAGTTCAATGTGTGTTACATATTTGTTTCAAACATTTGTCACCTCCAGATTTAGTTGACATTAATATATATATTCTTATATTTTAATGTTCTTCCCATCTGTGTAATGCAGCATGTATAACACTTAAATGCAGAGTGGTTCAGGCCAAAAGGTAAACGATTTGATTATCTGATTGTCAGTAAACTGCAGTTTGCTATTATGTTCAGACTGACTGCTGTGGTTTGTGTGAAGCCTAGAAGTTAAGTTTTCTGAATACATTACTAATTGTAATGTGGTACAATCTCAATAAACCATATGCAACAACTGTTGTGCTTCTGAAGCATCTCTTCCCCCATTCCACTGTCCACAGAAATAACCAGCATCCCTAAACCATGGTTATGCCCATATGTTTGACAGTTCAAACTCATCCTTGGGTTCTGAAAAGTACTAGCTGTGCTAGTGTTGATAGAATCTGAACCTGAATGGTTTTTACACTTTAAATAAAGTTAGCTTTGCTTTAGGGTTAGGGTTCTCACATAGGGTTTAGAGCTTAAGGGTTAGGGTTAGCTTAAGCAAATCTACATTTTTGTTATGGCAGCAAAACACTTTATTGCTGTTACAAATGTAGGAATCCAATGAGCTAGCTGGTCCTGCTTGCACCTCTGTGGATTTTATTATAATTTGAAATTTTCTAAACCATGGTAATACAGTTTACGTTCTTAGAATACTTTTCTGTTGGCAGATCTCTGAGTGTAAAAATAATTTTTTCTAAATGTATAAGTAATGATTATTTTTGCTTCTCAAAATATTTTGTATAGGAAAACAAATGGTAAAATAACATTTTTTGAATCAAGCATTTAATTCAGTGACATTCTTTTTTAATCTAATTTTTGCTTTATGCTGAAGTGTGTTTTTGAAAGAAGTATTAATATATGGCAGTTTTTTATTTTCTCTGACAGCTGCCTCCATCAGTATGATAGGTGGAAAAGCTGCGCTGCGTAGCACTTGTTTTGTGTTCCTAAGCTGTATTCAGAAGTGATTTAACTGGGTATGAATATTTTCTGTCTTATGCAAACCTCTGTTAACCTTGCAGATTTTGGAACTTTCTTTGATTTGGAAAATGATCTTCCTGATGAACTGATCCCTAATGGAGAGCTGACTCTTGTAAACAGCGGCGGAAACATTGTTCCAGATGCAGCTTCTAAACACAAACAACTTTCTGAACTTCTGAGGGGAGGCAGTGGCTCTTCTCTTAACCCAGGAATTGGGAATGTGAACTCCAGTAGCCCTGTCCAGCAAAACCTCAATAGCCAAGTCCAGGCACAACCAAACAGTGTGAATATTGGCAACTTGAATGTGATGGGCAAGAGTCCATTAAACCAGGCAGATGCTGGTGTTTCAAGCCTGGCCAAACAAGCAGCCAGCACATCTGGGCCCAACACCACAGCCACTCCAGGCCTGAATTCTCAAGCACAGAAACAAGTGGGGATGGTGACAAGCAGTCCGGCAACATCCCAGACAGGATCTGGGATATGTATGAACACTGGCTTCAACCAGGCTCATCCAGGTCTTCTCAACAGTAACTCTGGCCACACTTTAATGAATCAGAGCCAACAAGGACAAGGGCAGGTAATGAATGGTTCCCTTGGGACAGCTGGAAGAGGCCGAGGTGCCGGAATGCAGTATTCTATCCCCACCATACAGGGAAATGCAAGCAATGTGCTGGCAGAGACCTTGGCGCAGGTGTCTCCTCAAATAACAGGGCACACAGGCCAGGCAGGAGCCATGGCAAAAGTATGTGGGGGTCGCATAAACTGGGGAATTGTTTGCAGTTTTGTTCAAGTATTTTGTGAATGCTAAACTTAAAGGCATTTGCTTTTGCAGCTTTCATTTCAATAACTAATTTTCAAAAAAAATCAGAGTAAATGTAGTTTAGTTATCTAAGGTCTAAAGCAAAGGTGGCCAAACACCACACAGTAGTTTGGGAAAGTAGAGCAAGGGCTATAGAATAATGATTTGCCTTCTTTGGTCTTGTAAATCAGAGTAAATGTAGTTTAGTTATCTAAGGTCTAAAGCAAAGGTGGCCAAACACCACACAGTAGTTTGGGAAAGTAGAGCAAGGGCTATAGAATAATGATTTGCCTTCTTTGGTCTTGTAAGGTTATTTGATTTTTTTTTCTTGTTATCTGTATTGTTTAAAATCACATTGGGCTATGGTTGGACTTATATTTGAAGTCCCTACGTGTGTTTTTTCAACCTCAGATTGGTAGAGAGCTGTCTGATTTTCACAGTTACATCACCAAAATTCAGCAGTGCAATCAGAGGGGGCTCTGGATATCTCCAAAGAAGTAGTGGGGCAGGATGTGGGGGGCAAATGCAGCCTTTCCCTAGTTTAGAATAGTTGGCAACTATTCTTTCAGACTGGTGCTTATTTTAAACTTGATTATGTGCTTCATTATATAAGTTTCCCCAATATGGTGTTTCCCGGAAATGTTGGATTATATATTCCTCCCATCAGTATGACTATTGACCAGGGTGCCTGAGAATAACGCCACAGATTGGCATTGGGATTGGGAAAACTGCTCTGTTTCAAAGCTGATGTTTTAATCTCTGCTGCAGTAAGTTTTTTAAAAGCCCCTAGAAACAGTTGTTTTGGGTTCTGGCTATGGTGACATTGTTGCCACTCATCACTCATGGTAACTGATCACCTTAATTTCTTGGAATGGAACAATTAATAATTTCTGGCATTGTTGTGTGGTGAATGTTTGGATTGGATTATTTGCTCTCTATTTATTTGTGACTTTTTTTTTGTTGTTCAACATCAGCTGCTTTATGAAATGATCCTAGAACTGTAGACTTAGAAGGGGCTAGTGAGGCCATGAACTCCTTACTCATTGCAGGATCCACATTAAAGCATCTCCAACAGATGGCTTCCTAGCCTTTGCTTAAACACATACGGTGGATAGTCAACACCTCTTTGGGTAATTGGTTCCACTGCTGAATTGCTGTTGCCGTTAGGACTTTTTTTCTGACGTTCAGTAGGAATCTGCCGTCCTATAATTTCCACATGTTATTCCATATCCTGCATTTTGGAATGATACAGTACAGACCATGATATTTTGTCTGACATCCTTTCAGGTATTTGAAGACTTCTATCCTATTCCTCCACCCATGTCTTTTCAAAGCTAGACACTTCTAGAATCTTCAGTAGGATTTAGTTTTTTTAATCCCTTGATCATCGTTATCTGAATTTGTGAGTAACTGTGGCGCCCATTTACTGGACACAATCCTTGATTGTTGAAAAGTTAGGTTTTCAACGATACAGAATAATATAGAAATATCATTTTTTGCCATTTGGAAATTATTCTCTTATTTATTTATTTATTTATTTATTTATTTATTTATTTATTTATTTATTTTACATGCCATCCATCTCCCCCAGACAGTGACTCTGGGTAGCTTACAATTAAAATCTGAAACAGTAAAAGCAACAAAAATATAAATATCCATATTAAAATCCCCAAGATCATGGGGAGAGCAGTATTGATCATCCTACCCGCCAATTCCAACAATGCGAGCCCACATCAGGCCCCCAGGCCATCTGGCATAGCTATGTTTTCACACTTTTTTGGAAGGCCAGGAGAGTGGGGGTGGCCCACACCTCAAGTGATAAGCTGTTCCACAGGGTGGGGGCCACGGCAGAAAAGGCCCTCTTCCTAGACCCCACCAATTGAAATTCCTTGACTGGTGGGGTCCGCAACATGCCCCTTCTGCTGGACCAAGTGGGGCGGGCAGATATAACAGAGGCGAGACAGCTCCTCAGATAACCTGGTCATTAACACCACCTAACATTGAATTTTCCTCTCTTGCAACCACGGTGCTTTGCTGATTCATAGTGAGCTGTAATAAGCTGGTATTCCAAGTTCTATTTCAGAAATACTATTGCCAAGCTAGGTATCCCCCATTCTGTGCTGGTGCATTTGATTTCTATTTCCTAAGTGAAGAACTGCATTTGTCTCTGTTGAATTGCATTCTGTTATTTTCAACCCATTTCTTTAACCAAACCCTAACCAATGTTGTGTCATCTGTAGATTGGTTAAGCATTCCTCCTTCATCAAATTTGCTAATAAACATTTTGAATAATACAGAGCCTAGGAGTGAACCCTGTGATACCATACTCAGTTCTTCTCAATTTCAGTTTAATGAAGAACTGTTTATGAACAATCTGTGAGTATGATTTTGAGCCATATGTATCTCCATTTAATTGTCATGCTCATCCGTGAAATAGTTGGCTGATCAGAAGTAATGATTAGGAGTACTGAAATCAGGATATATTATGTTTACGGTATTTCTACAGTCTACTAAATCTGATTTTAACAATGAAATAAGGATACTTGGGCAAGATTTGTTTTTCACAAATCTATGTTGACTTTGGGTAATTGCTGTATTGTCTTCAAAATGCTTACTGATGCTACCAGTGTCAAGACAGGCAATTAAGTTGAATGTATAGGAGCTTGATAGTCTAGGTAGCTGACTGGCTAGGATTTTGCAGATTCTGCCAGAATATTCCACTGAAAGACATAGCAATCCCACCAAGAAATTCTGAGGATCATGTCATTACAGCTGAGAGACGAAGGGCATTCAGAGGTGTGCATCCAGGAGGGTCTAGAGGGGCAAATTACTTTGACTGCAGAGGACCTAGGAAAAGTAATATAGTATCATTTTAACACCATTGTCATCAAATTATTGGAGATAAGATTATGAAATACAAAAAACAGAATGCTTTATTGCAGAAAGGTCTGTTTCAAACACATGATTAATGCATAAGTCTGTTCAAATGAACACATGGCCAAGGAATAAATATAAAACTAAAAGTATGATATATCATTCATTGCTTATGATGAACAATTGAGAGATTAGTGAAGCAAAGAAGCATAATTAGAGGTTTTGAATAAGGGACAGAACTTTTTTTTTTTTTGGGGTAGTATCAGGAATGGATCTTGAGGGAAATGGACATGGAAAAAAAGAACTGAAAGAAACTAGAGTAAGTAGAATGATTGCCAGAAGATAAATTACAAGTCTTGTATAAATAAGTGTTAGATGATAGTTTAATCTCCCAACAGAAAGAACAGAAAATTAATGTAAGGAAATTAGATGCATAAGCTTCTTGGAATAGAGTAAACGTAATTATTGTTAGAGAGTGCCGAAAAAACTGGAATTATGCTACTGGGAATGTGTGAAATGATGAAGTAAAAGAAGCTGTGGATAAGAAAAATGCATATGAGAGAATGATTGCTGGAAAAAATGAGGATGAGAGAAAGATATTGTATAATGTGTATATATAGAAGAAGTAGTTGCAAAACATGATCAAAGAGAAAAAGGGATAGTTAAAATTAAAAGGGGTAGAAAAAATGCAGAATGATTTTGATGGAAATAAACAGTTGTTTTGGAAGTGTGTGAGGAGGAGCGTCCATCAGAGAGTGGAATTAAAAATAAGAGTGATGAAATTATTTGGGATGAAGCTGAAGTGAAGGAATGCCAGAAAGGGTATTTTAGAGATTTGTGTGGGAATGACAGTAAAAACTGGAATTGTCACAAATGCTGTTATTGTTACAACCATATGGCCAGCAGTCAGAAAGAATTAAACAGGTAAAAATGAAGTTGCATAAAACTAGCAAGAAAGAAAATTAATATACATTTTCCAGGAGAGGTAGAAGTGTAGAATTGGGCAACCTGGGAAGATATATCCAAACAATCATTAGACAGGAGGGACAAATGGAAAGATGCTCTTGATCAGAAAATTTATTCAAGATAGGATCAGTAACAGTTATTCAGGATCCTCTGTAGAGAGAGCAATGAAAAAACATATGGCTCAAGGACTCCACTGCATCTCCACAAAGACACATACATTGAAGGAAAATATTTTTGTAATGCCCCAGTAAGACTGGCAAGGCAGTGCATCCTGAAGGCTACAAATGTTAGTGCCCCAAAAAAAATAACAAAAAGGAAGTCATAAATGCTGTGCGAATGTTGAAAAAAAGTAACACTGCCGATATAGATGGTTTAACTAGAGAAATGTTAAAATGTGTTGTGATTTGCTTATAAATTGCTGTGTGACTTGTTTAATGTGGGTGTGAAGGTGGCATTAGTGCCTGATGATTGGAAGAATGATATTGTTATTCTCTTATACAAAGAGAACGATAGTAAGAGATGGGAGAGGAATACAGTGAATTGAAGAAAAGTGGCATGATTTTTTTTGTCTCCTGTTATACTGAAGGTAGTTCTGGAAAGTAGTATATGCTGAATCATTGGATATGACCAATGTCTCTGAAGAAATTTTAGAGTTAACGAAGAGGTAGTGGAACGGTAGAGTGGGGCGAACAATCTTTTGTTGGCCATGGACTGTGCTTAATATTTTATGTGTACATGGGCTGTAGTAGATGGGTTAACAATGCAAATCCAGGCTCAGGATTTTCAAGGCGGGGGGAGTCTTAGGTTTTACAATGTTAAGACTTTTATGCCACTAGTTTTCAACAGCTGCATTCGGAGGTGGATCCAGAAGCTGCAAAAAAGGAATTTCGGATCTGTATCAAGCTCTGAGGCCTCAAGATGCTCAGTGCTAGACTGGA